CCTTTTAGCTTACGGCTGCACGTTCCTGACTCCTCTCAGGGTTCGGTGTGGTTTTGCCATCCCTCACAGTAAAGACACCCCATCTTCTTCCACTTCCAGAACCCCACACACAGGCCACTGTGTATCGAACACATCTCCACATCCTTCCTCCATTCCTTTTAAGAATCTCCAAGTTCATCTTGTAATACTTCCAACTTCATTCATTCACATAATTAATCCTTCTCTCCTTTCTCCCTTGCAAAGATTGTCTCCAAATAATTATGCATGTGTTTTCAGGTCACGCTTTTATTTTGGTGACTTCTTCTTAAAAGACAGTTTATATATTAAAATGACTTCCTGCTTAGGATGAAATTAAATGTAGCTCTTTCATCCCTCTGCCCTGTCCCAACCACACAAGTATGTCTTTTCTTATCATTCCAAATAGTCATGTTATGACGCTAGGTTAATTCAGTAATCGGTATTCACTGCAGAGCCAATTAGTGAATCAGGATTAATTTTCTTTTTTGGTGACTTTTGTCTTACCTGGAATTAATAACTGCCCTTTCCCCCCATTTACTTAGTTTTCTAAGGATCTTTTTTTTTTTGCAACACATCCTTCAGATCAGTCACTCATCAGTATTATTTTCCAAATGGCCAAATATCAGACAAATTTTCAATTCTATCCCTGGGCCCTCTGGTCCTGGGATGCAAGGGGAAGGGAACTGAGGACCCCTGTAGTATAAGTAGACATGTGCCTAATTCCCATTGTCAGCCCCTCATCATCTCACCCTGGCCCACTGCCACACCCAGTCCCCACGGCCTTAACTTTCATGGTTACACTTTTTCAGAAAATAAACCTCCATTCTCCTGCCTAGGCTGGGGGTACTCATCTGGCTCTCAGGGTGGGCAGGGTCTAGGGCTCCATTGTGTTTACCAGCTTTCAAACAATTCCTTGCCCTCAACCCTGCCTCACACCTCACTTCCTCTCTACCTAGTACCTCCCAGCCTTGAGTCTTTGAGGTGGTTCTTCAGGATAAATTTGGCTGATTTTAATTACCAACACTGCATTCACTTACCGTCTTCCAAATTCTCACATCCTCTCATCCACTGATGTCTCTTCTACTGTTCTCTTGCAGGTTGTCTTCCTGGATTTATGCATCCTTTCTTCCTTTCCTCTTTAGTAAGGCTTTGAAAGAGACCACCTAACATATATGATTAATCCACTATGTTTACAGAATCTATGATTATTTTTAAAGTAGATTAGTTTATAGGGATATGGGAGATTGACCGATTAATTGAAGGAAGAAAATGTAACCTAAGCCAACATGTGGTGTTTTCTACTAAAGCAGAGGTCACAACTCAAATTCCTTTAGAAGCCTAGAATGTAGTAACACGTGAATAAAGCGAGGGGGGTGTAAGACAAGGAAGAGTTGGGGAACATGGGGAAGTGGAGAGGGCCAAAACTCTCTGAATGGCAATAGTGACTCAGCTCCAACTGAATACAGAAATTCAGACCTAACCTTGCCAGATCTTCCAATCTTCCGAGGAAAGCCAGTAATTGATCTGCACTTGAAATACCTGACAGATGTTGACCCTACTCATCTAAAATAACCCCGCATGTTGGGAAAATTGGACAGATACATGCAAAAAAAATGAAACTAGACCACCAACTTACATCATACACAAAAACAAACTCAAAATGGATAAAGGACATATGACGGGAAACCATAAAAATCTTAGAAGAATCCATAGGCAGCAAAATTGTAGTCAGACGTGTTGTAGCAATATCTTTACTGACACAGCTCCTATAGCAATGGAAACTAAGGAGAAAATAACAAATGGGACTACATCACAATAAAAAGTGTCTGCACAGCAAAAAACAAAAACAAAAACTCATCGACAAAACAGGAAAGCCCACTGCATGGGAAAACGTATTTGCTAATGTTATCTCCAATAAGGGTTTAATCTCCAACCTTTACAGGGAACTCATACAACTTAT